CTTAGATTGCTTGTTTTGGAGCTCATGTAATGTTCTTCTGAACTTTCTACAAGTTTTAAAACTATAAACTTATATTAAGATTTAGATCAGCAGTGAATGTGTTTAAATATTATTTTATATGCTTTTTTTCATTTTCTGATGTTTGTGCCATGACCATATATTGCATTTATATTCAATGGAAAGAATAAAGAATTTTTTTCAATTTCCATGTGAATTAATATAGTTCCTCCAGTATTTTTTGGTCTCTTTTCTTCATGGTTTTTTTTCCTTTTAGACCATCTGCTCCTCTCATTATATAATAATAATATTTTGAGAACTAACTACATAGCACATATACTATAAGTCCTTTACTCCCATTCTTCTTTAATCCTCAGAACAACTCTGAGAAGTACCATAATTACCCTTGTTTAATACCTGAGGAAGTTGAGGTTGAAACATGTAAGTGACTTTTTCAAAGTCACATAGCTAAACTATAGTAAAGACAGTTTGGATCTGGGTCTCTCTGACAATGAACCAAGGTGATTAACTACTATACCATACTAGTTCCAAGAATTTCGAGATTATCTGAGTATTGGGATGGTTGCTAGGTGAATAGGCAAAGACTCGGTTTTGAAATCACTCCAATACTCTTCTAAGACAGTCTTAGGATTAAATTCAGTCGTTCAGCTTATACTGTGGTATTCAAGAGAAAATTTCTTTTGGTAACATAGATAAGTAATCAGAGGAATGGACACATAAACTATTTCTGATTAATGTTTCACTCAAAAAATTTCAGTCATAAGCCAAAGAAGAAATGGATTTTTCATATGAGAACCAGGTCTTGTGAAGAAAGGGCCTTTCTTTTAAAGTCTGGTGTTTATTAAGAGTTTCTTTAATAACTGAAAATTACCTAGGGAGAACATTTCTAATACACTGGGGAATTTGTGGACAGAGGAATTTGCACTGCGTAGTCAAGGGCAAATCATCTCTTGGGCATCCCTCCCCGTTCCTTTCCTCCAGCCCACTCCATTCATCAGCTCACCTGCAGGCCAGGGCCGGAGTCATCAGTGTCCTCCACGCCTGTCCACGGGGGGCGGGGCGGGGGGCAACCTAGCCTTCTCCTCTTTTTCTCACTCTTCCGCATTTTGAAAGCATTGGAAGAAAAATTTTCTCTGATAATAATGATATCTACCATTTATTATATAGTTACCATACACCATGCACTATGTTAAGCAGTGTTTGCATGCTCTCCAGTTTTCACAACAACCTTCCTTAGAAATGAGAAATCCAAAGCTCAGAAAGTGGCTCTCTGATGTACTCTGAATCATAACCCTCTAACCTGTGGGTTAGAGATTACAGTTGGAGGGAAGAAAGGAGGAACCAGGAGGGACAGTGAAGGTATTACTTGCCATCACTCATACAGCAGAACTGAGATGCAAACTCAAATGTTTGGCTCCATGATCTATGTTGCCACCCAAGTCGTTTGGCTCTGAAAGCCAAAAAGAGAGAACTAAGAAATGCAATTCTTGATGTGACATTAAAATTCATTAACCATCTATGAGATATTAAATTTATATATTATCGTATCCTAATTTCCTGGAATCAATTTTATACCATAATTTATTTTTTTAAGAATACTATATAAACAATATATAAATAATATATATTTCTTATAAATAAGAAAATATTATGTTAAAACATTATAAATTCTGATCTCCCTATATTATTAAGAATAAATTTTATGACTAAAATGCCTTATAAATATAATATTCCATTAATGAACATGACAAAACACTGTGATGAGAAATGACTATTCTTTTGGTGTTATAAAATTAACAGGTAAATTATCCCTACTAATTAGGTAAATTATAAGGATTTTTCTCTTACCACTGAATTTATTTAGTTATCAAGGCAGGGATTTATTAGAATAGTTGGCAGTGTTTTTGTTCTGATGACATTGTTGCCTATAGTAGTTTTCTTGTTCATCCCCAGGAAACATGTCCAGGAAGCAGAAATCAAATCATATTTGAAAGCTTTGTTTCTGGTGCTTTATATTATAAATCTGATTTGGTACTAAAATCCATTATAATAAAAAAGGATCTGAAATCAAAAGAAAAAAATGCATTTGTTTTTTAACATAAAATCTGTTGGAGTTATTTTTCACCAAGAAAGGAAGGGCTAGGGGTGAGCAGGGGCTTGGGGGTGGTACTGGGAGCCGCAGACTGAGTGAGGTAGAGGTTCATCAGCCAACTGCTCCTTCCCCCACTTAAAAAAAAAATTCTATAATTGGAGCCCTTGGTCAGGTTCCACATGCCGTGAGAACTCACCCAACACCATGATGCTGGTGCCTCGGTGCTGGCCAAACTCCGGAGTCAGTGACTGGTGTGACTCTCTTACCGGGAATATGCATTTGGTCTGGACCAATCATAGAATAAACACATCTCTCTTTTTAAGACAAATGAATTTTTAATTTTACTATTGTTTTAGATCTCATAACTAAATACATAATCTATTTGTATATGAGAAGCGTTATGACAGTCTAACTTGCGTATGGCTACCCAGTAGTTACACACAAAATAATCATGTAGTTTTGTTCATTAGGGATTTTTAAGAACTATCCATTGTTTAATTTTACTTTCTAAAATGTTTTTCTTCTTCTTCTTTTTTTTTTTTTTGCTTAGGCTAATAATTGTGTATTAGTGCAATGATTTCATTTAGACATCATGACTTGATTAATTCAGTTCAATAAAAATTCATTGAATATCATCTGCAAGGCATTGCTTAGCTCTAAGGAAGGATAAAAAGATGAATAGACTCTGAAAGAGTCACGGTAGCAACTATGGTATAAAACAAGGAAAGTAAGATCAATACCTTCATAAAGGTAGAAAGCACTGCATAATCACAGTATGGAGCAGTTAATTCCAACTGAGTAGGTATATAATGGAAAAGCTGGAAAAGAAACCAACCTTGAATACTACATTGAAAACATCCCGGGTCCTTATCTACAGACATTATTTTAGTCAGTCCCTAGCAAGTAGACAGGTATTACGAAACTTAGCTTAGTATTTGCAAGCACCCTGGATTCTTTTTCTTTCAATAATTGTGGTATATGAGGCTCAAAATTCAAGTCAAAAGTAGAAATCCTGTCCCAAAATAAAAATATCATAGGCTTATAAAAGGCAAGATTCATATGACATGAACAAAAGGAGGCAAAGCCAAGGTACAGGTGTACCTGCCCCAGCTGCTGATTTCTCCTGCCCTGCACGGGCTCCTCCTCCCAAGCGTCTCTGTGGAGCACGCCCGAGGTTGGTAGCTTCTCCTGCGGGCGCCTGGGCTGAGGACTCCTTCTGAGGAACTACTCAGCCATGCGGCTGCCTCCCCAGCTTTGTACACCCTGTTTCCGCTGCCTCAAAAGCTTTTATCCCCATTCTTTCTCTATTGCAGTCTGGTGACTACCACTTGCAGGAACAAGGTTGTCTCCTCTGGGACGTCTTTGAGTCTCCCCGTAGATCCATACCCACCCTAGTCTGAATTAAGGGTCTCTTTTCAGGTCTCTGATCGTACCCTATCCTACCCACATCGTAGCACATTTGAAACTACTCTCTGCAATCACCTTGTAGGCAGGAATTGCGTTGTTCAGCCCCTAGCACAGTAATGTTACATCATAGGTGCTCTTTATGGATTGAAATGTGTCTCCCTTTAAAAAGGATACGTTGAAGTCCCAACCCCCAGTACCTCAGGATGTGACCTTATTTGGAAACTGAGTCACTGTAGATGGAATTAGTTAAGGTAATTATTAATGGAGTAGGGTGGGGTGTCCTTATAAGACAGCCACGAGAAGATAGAGACACAGAGAGAAAGCTGTGTGCCTAAGCAGGCACAGTTTGGAGTTACACAGTTGCAACAGGGAGCGACAGATGGCCAGCAATCACCAGAGGCCAGGCGGAGGCAAGGGAGGATTCCCCTACACATCTCAGGGGGAGCATGGCCCTGCCTACACCTTGATCTTAGACATCTAGCATCCAGAATTGTGAGACAATAAATATCCATTGTTTTAAACCAGCCAATTTATGATTGCCCTAGGAAAACAGTGCGGTGCTCAATAAATTCGAATGGATGGATGACTTCGAATTTTTACCTGTGACCGATCTGTGTCTCTTCTGTTATTTCTTGTTTCTAGCCTTGATCTAACAGAGCTTCTTTCATTTTATTGGGCCACTTGAAGGTACAAATTTTATTTGTCTGATTCTCAGATTTTTCTTTTGCTCTCGAATGTTGTAGACGCAATTTTCTGCCTGAATGACTCCAAAACTGAACATAACTGGATTTTATGAAAGAATTTTGTACCTATATTTGCCTCTTTTTCATGGTCTATATCTTGAGAAATCTTCATGCCTCCACTAAATCAGTTTTTTACACTGAGCGAAGCAGAGGAGAGGATGAGATTCCACATGTGAGCTACTAAGAGCCGTCTTGCCGTGGACTTAGGTTGTGGCGTGCTCTTTGAGTTTGCTGATCTTACCATTTAATGGCAATTTAGTGGGGTGGATAGTAGCTGGGGCTTTGTTGTCAAACAGAGCTGGGATCAACCACAGTTCTGCCACTTCGTGGCTTGGGTAAGTTTTTTTAACCGTAGTTTCCTCCTTTGTAAAATGGGGTAATAGTAGTGTCAAACTTCTGAGTTATTACAAGAAAATAATGGCATAATGTACATAAAGTTCTTAGCATAGTTCATGTAGTAAAGTCTTAATACAAGTTATTATTAGATTATTAGATGGGCACCAAAAACACCCTCCCACAGAGTATCAAAATCACATTATTTTGTAAAGCAGCGTCCTCTGGAATCAACTGTGTTACAAATGGAATGTCTAAATCTATCATAGAAAACACATATTTTAAAATTCTACCAAAGAATACCAGAAGGGAAATGCAAAAAAAAAAAAAAAATCTACCCTTTACAGGCAAAAGTTTGATTATTGAGTCAAAAAACTCACCCACTTTTATTTTTTCCCTGTAAACAGGCTAAAAGGAGAGATGAGATTCTCCAACTCTTAAGAAAACAAAGAGAAGAAAGGATCTCGGTGAGACTGAGAGGCATTCAAATCAATCTAAGCGGTGGCAGCGGGGAGAGACTATGGCAAATTCTCAGAGGTTTTATGGATTGTCCCCATAAACCTAAATACCTACAGTACAGAGCCTTCTATCTACTTGTGTGGGGGCAGGGTACAGACATCAGGCAGTTTGGTCGTCCTTGAGAAATCAAAAAATTCTCCAGAGTGTGCTGCTCTATTAGGATAGAAATGAGGTGGTGGTATCAGCAGGTTTGTCACCCCGTAGGATACAGCTCTAGGATAGTCACACAGTTGAGCTACCACAGTGCTCATCCTTGTTTTACAATGATTGATCTTGCTGAGATCATACAAAAACAAATGCTAAAGGAAGAGAAACATAATAAAAATAGTAAAACAAATAATAGCACCCTATAAACTTTCAGACATACAAACACCTGCTCTCTTGAATGAACTCCAAACACCCTTCATCCGGAACATTTCTAATCCCAGTGTCTCCAGATTTAAGAAGCTAGTCTGTATAAACTCTGTGATAATTTGACCTTAGGTTGTTTTTGTTTTTGTTTTTCAAGTAAGGAGATGTCAGTCAGTGCAAGAAGTAAAAATTGTGCTTTTTGAGTTCTGTTTTTGTTTTGTTTTTAGAAAGAACTGGTTTCCCTTCCTTATAAGCCAAAGGCCAAAGTACACAAAGCAAAGTAAGTTTACTTCTGTCAAATATGTTCTTACCTTTCTAGTTCCCCCATAGAGAAACACTGTTTTTGGTACTTCCTTTGCCTCCTACCCTCAAATGTTCTAAAAACCCACCCACTGTAGTCACAGATTTCTTGCCTTGAATAAACCTTCTCCTCAGCCACATTAAAGCCTGTGTGCCCACTTGCATCTCTGTGCAGCAGGCCAGCATAAAATGGTCAAACAGGACAGCAGATCAAGCCTGACGCTTTGCACATATTCCCTTCCCCCACTCTCCTGTTCTTGGCGTATTCACCTGCCCACATGGCCTCTCAGCTCCGGCCCCCCCTCCCAGCTCCTCTTCCTCCCCACACCTAGCTCCCTCATCTGTAGTAACTCAGCACGTCTTTTAGATTACCAGCTCCAGATACCACCAAAGGCATCCCTAAGGTTGCTAAATCTAGGTTCATGTAGCAAAGGCGGTAGCCTTACAGCGAGGGGTTAATAGCCTTATCCCTGGAAAAATGTTAGAGCAGGAGAAAGCAACGGTCCCCAAGAGTTTAAAGGAAACCACCTAACACCAGTTAATCATTAAAGAAGCCCTAACCAAATAAAAAAGAAAAAAAAAAAAAAAAATCCTCATTTTCTGTATTATGACTGAAAACCAATGTGGCTAACTCAACATTAGTTTGACGAATATATATTTGCCTGCTATATTCGGGGAAGAACAGTAAGAGAATTTAGATTCTGCTCTCACTGGTATTGAGGCTGACTCCCTTTAATGTTATCAAAGTAATATTCTTAAAAAACATGTCCACAGTAATTTTAAAAAGTTTTGAAAGAAATGAAAAGATCATTTAATCACCTGGCTGTGTTGTCTACATAATACTCAGCAGTTTAATTTCTTGCTTTTTAGTCAGATGATTTGAATCAGATTCTAACAGTAAAGCAAAACTAGTCAATGGTAAGATGCATTTATCTGATTCAAATAATGGGTGAAGACTGGTAAGCCTGGGTGCTTTAGGTTTCTGGGCATATTTTTATAGGAATGCTCAGCCCATTCCTGGTACCACCCCTGTTGATTCACCTAAGAGTAAAACATTATTTCACAGCTTGAAGGGATCATTCTTTAGGTGCTTGCCTAATTCCTTTTGTATTCAACTTGCTCATTTTCCCTCCTCTGCCCTGAAGCCTTAGATTTCATTCCATTTCACTGGGATATCTTCCTTCTCCGAGCTTCTTACAAAGTTACCATCTGTACCATTCTTTCGGCAAATATCCGTATGCTACTATGCAGCCATATTTTATAATTACTCAACTCATTAACTCTTACATTATTTAACTCTTCATGTATTTTTTTTTTTTTTTTTTTGAGAGAGAGAGCTCACGAGTGCGGGGACGTGGGGGGGCTATGGCAGAGAGGGAGAGAGAGAGTCTTAAGCAGGCTCCATGTTCAGCACATAGCCCAACACAGGGCTCAGTCTCACCACCCCGAGATCATGACCTGAGCCAAAATCAAGAGTCAGACACTTAACCAACTGAGCCACCCAGGTGGCCCTCATGTATTTTTGACCTATCAACTATATTGCAAGCTCAATGAGAAATTGAGTCACCCAAAGTGCCTAGCACACTGACTAGATGTAGGAATTCAGAAAATATTGGTAACAAAATATTTTAGTTCAAGATCATGTAGGTTAGTATTAGCTAATTTAGGTGATGCTTTTATACTATACATGATAAACATCTTTAAATTTTTGAAATATTTTATACAGAATTGTAAACTACTTAATTTTTGCCCTCTTTTTCCTCCCTCCATCCTACCTTGTTTGCCCCACACCCCTGCACACAGAGACTCATGCCTTTACCACCCTCTTCCAACAGATCTTCTTAGGATGATCCAAGTCCACTTTTGTCAGAAAGAACTAGAAATAGAAAGTGTGTTCATAGTAAGGTTTTAGTATCAATATGTTTATAGATTCATTATTCCTGTCCACCACAGGAATACTTGCATTTTAAAAGAGGTCTGACTAGAAGGAAAGAAGGACCAATAGCTATTCCAAAGAAATCAATTATCAGTGATAATCACAAGTAAGTGTGACTCTCTGGTGAGCAAAATATATGTAGGGTAGGCGGTCTTCTCCCAAGCCCTTTACATCACACTTCACAGCATAATGACCATTCCTCCCACTTGTAAGTTTATACTTGGCTCCAAAATCTCATGCATAGTCAGAATCCAAGACAGTAAATCTTTACTGGGGAAACTTTCAGAAGTTGTTTCCATGCTACCTGGTGTTCACAACTATGGAGCTCTGTGTCTTAAAACTGATTCATGTTATTGCCAACAGGAAAGTGACATCAGAGTCAGACAAGGAACACCAAGAGGAGGTCAAAGCCTTGGACTAACGTGATGGACACATGGGAAAGGATGGCTCACTTAGATCTTGACATTTGAAGCACCCTTCTCTTATGTCAGGATCATTGGGATCACTTTGTTGAAATAGACAAAGAAATAAAAGTTAAATATGCAGACTTCTAGGAATTTTACCAGTTATTGAATACTTGTGTCTACTTTACTTGATGGATACTACTGTATTTGACACCACACAATCGTATCATCTTACACCTCTGAAACTCCTATTTATCTTGTTTTCATCAGACGTGTATGTCCAGAACTGCTGTATTTGATCTATATTACAAATATCAGATAAACAAGAAACAGGGGTTTCATATGCCCCAACTTGAGACCACTACTAAAAAACCCTAAAAAAGTTAAGGTCTTCTTGCTGTTAAAAAAAAAAAAAAAAAAAAAGGTCTATATAAAATCCATTTTCCAGAATTTAGTTTATTCAGTTTCTGGAACATGTCTGAAGTCAGAAATTACTTCTAGTTCTGTAAATAGTTGGCTTAACATTTCTATATCTTCGACACATGTGCATGATCATATTGCCAGCCTCCCTCATTTTCAAAGGTATATGTTTTTGGTATATATTTTATATATCGGAAAAGAGAAGGTTAAGTATTTGTCTCTTCTGTGCTGTGTAACTGGCAGTGTTACTCAGGGTTGTATGCTCTGCTCCAGAGCTCTACTGAACCTCCCAGCTCCATTGAGGACCACCGTTCACTTCACCCTTGGCCCCCACCTGCCACTCCTGGACATAACCCCCATCGGATGCAGCTCCTACCCACAGCGCCCACAGAGGAGTGGGTGACCCACTGGTCAGAACTTCATCACAGGGACAAACCAAATTGCAAGGGAGGCTGGGAAATAGTCTTTAAATGGAAGATCATCTGCCTAGTTAACGTCAGGACTCTCACTGAAAGAAGTGGACAATGGATATTGGTGGACAACTAGTAGTTCCGGCCACACACTATTTGGAGAAAAATGTTTTCAAATGAACAGAAGAAGGTAGTCAGGCCTAGAAAAGGGAAATTTACAAAATTATAAATTGGCAATCTCATGTCAGCACTATGAATTCTTTATTCATAGTTTGAATAAATGAATTTATTCTTTATTATTCTATGATTCTATGATTATTCATAAAATTATTCTATGAATTTATTCTTTATGAAGAATAAAAGGCACCCTATCAGGGTGATATATTTGTCTGCCAGACAGATATAGCTCTCTTGTAAAGATGGATAGAGCAAGTTATCAAAGCCTAAACTTTCAAATCATATAACTAACTCCCTTTGTTCTGATTCCATGCTCACTTGGAAATCTCTTGCCCAGAGGTAGAGATTGTGCTCAACAGACTAATGCAAACATCAGTGTGCTTGACAATAATATTTCTCAGTGTATAAATATATTAGTCTCTTAGATTGGGTTTGGGCTTGTCAAACTAAGGTTGGGACCCTAGACCAACATAATTTTACCAAGAAAAATTCAACTGTGTAAGCCACCCAACCTTCCCCAGTGGACACCTCTCTGCATTACCATATATAATGGTTGGTATTGCTGCAACAATCTAACAAAGTGATCTAAAACATTTATTATTGCTCACACATCTGCCGGTTAGCTGGGGGTTTGGGTTGGCTGATCTAGGCTTGGCCAGGCAGCTCTGCTTCAAAGTGCCAGCACCTAGGGCAAGTCTGCTTCTCACTATATGTCTGTTGATTGACTGAGGCCGCTCTGCTCCATGTGTCATCTTCTTTGGGATGTACATGGTCCAGTGGGATAGCTGAGCTATGTTCCTCTCAGACAGCAGCCGAGAAGCAAAAGAACAAACAAGGACAAGTGAGGCCTTTTCCAGTGTAGGCTCAGAAACCGCTGACTCACTCGGCTGGCTAAACAAGTCACATAGTCAAATACAGAGACAAGGGGTGGGAGATATACTTAGTCCTTTCAGTAAGAAGAATTGCAAAGTCACATGGTAAAGGGTGTGGATACAGAACCTGTGCAGACTGGAGTTGCAACTGTAATCTAGTACATGAGGCTGACCACATACCTTAACAAAGGCAATGTGGACAAAGGGCCAGAGTATCAAAGGGAGAACTCAGGGCACAATTTAATTATTTGGGCCAAGGTAACAGCTTCCCCAAATTGAAATAGGTGTTGTAATATTGGAAATACATCCTTTTCAATTGACATTAAGTAACCAGCCATCTGCACCCTTGCATGTCTATCTGCCCCCATCAAACCTTCCCAAAACTCTTAAGGTAACACCAAGAGTTAATTGAAACTGAGATGAAGGAATTGCCAAAGTTCCACCTAGACTTTAAGTGAAGAAAAGCAGAATATCAGATGCCAACTCAGGGGCTTCCCTCACCGTGCAGTCCTCTCTGTCTTGAGAACCAGGAGTTTCTAGAAAGAATGCATGTTGGATATGAGATATTCTAATTTCAGACATAAAGATGGGTTGTAAATCAGCGTGCCATAAAGGGCAGTCCTCACCCTGCTGATGCTTCTTTCTGCGGGAGCAGCTCCTCCCTACAGCATCAGCTGATACTGAAATAGATTCCCCTGCCCAGGACTATATTCACTCACTCCTCTTCCTCTAGAATTGCAGTGGCTCCAGCTGAGACCAAAACCCAGGAAGTCAGTGGTCCAGACGGGGCTTCTGCAGCCATTCACAGCAGCCTGGTATGGGGGAAAAGGCAGGGAAATCAGACCCACCTTCTGCCACTCAGTACTTCAGTTTTTGGACAGAAGGCTCACTTTATTACTTGAGCATCTTTGAAAACATTGTGTTTACCACAAGAAGCTGATGGAAACAGGAGTATTGTGGCAGTTTCAAAGAGGGAGCCCACACTGAGGGCTGAGCTGGTGAGGAAGGCTTTTCCACAGAGAGGGACCATTCTTTCCTAGGGAGGCTCCTCTCCCTTCTACCACCAGCCCAAGGCTGAACAATCACCCCCACCTCCCAACAGGTGCCCCGCAAACGGCAGGGATTATTTCCTTGCTGAGTTCAGAGACACCCTTTGGCTTCGGGTGGAGCTACTCTCTTCTCAGCCAGAACTCCAACTCAGCCACCTCCTCTGGACACTATCCACGCTGCCCCATAACTTGCGGGCCAGGGGCACACTGCCCACGTGAGCATCTTTCTTCGTATCCGCCATTCCTTTCTCAGGGGTGGCGTTGAGCACCCAGACTGCTGCCTACCGAGCCCCAGGGAGGTCTCAGCGCCTCGCCTCTCCCACTGGCTCACACTGCAGAGCCCAGGGCTCTGGGTGAATTTGGCCATGGCTGCGAGGAGTGGGGTGGAGATGTGGCCCTGTTTTGAGCCACAGTGCCTCTCTTCATCAGATTTCAGAGAGGCCAACTGGGACATTACTGGGCCTCGCGCCCTGGGCAAACGCAGGATCTCCGCGGGAAGCTCGGAGGAGGCGGGGACGGGAGGGGGGCGGGCAGGGAGCTGGCTCCCCTCCTCTGCTCGCTCCCCTCGGGCGGGCCAGGTCTGTGGCGCCGTGGCCGCCGGAGGAGGCCATCAGGGGCGGGCCAGCTGCGGGGCTGCCCTCCCCTCGGTGACGTCCCAGGGGGGCGGAGGACGGCGCGCTGGCTCCGCGCCCTCCCCGCCTCCACCGGGTGCCCCGTCCGTCGGTCCTCGGGAGATGCTGCTGCCGCCTTTGCATTTGCCGTGCACGCCGCTACGGGTCCGTCCTCTCCACCGCCGTGGCGCCGCGGTGTCCGAGGGCGCACCCGAGCCGGGGCCATGCAGCCGGGAGCCGCGCTGCAGGCCATGCTGTTGGCCGCGCTGCTGGCGGGGCCCCGGGGTACCACCGGTCGCCTGCTAAGCGGTGAGTGAGCGCGCTGGGGCGGGGGCTGGTTCCCGGTCGGGCTCCGCAGATGCACCCACCTCACCCCAGCTGCTGCGGGCCGTCGTCACGGCCGCCGCACCTCTTCTCTGGCCCCCTGCACAGGCGAGGGGCGTCCTCGCCTACGCTAGTGGACCCAGCCCTCCCGCGCCCCCTGCTTGTAGGGGAGCCGTCGCCCCGCGGCTAATGGCAGCGCGGATCCCTGCTTATCCTGGAACACGCGAAGTCCGTTCCCTCCCCCAGAGTTCCGGGCGCTGGGGGACGTAGGCTAGGTGAGGCAGTGGGCAAATCCTCCCCAGGAGGCTCCCCCTCGGCCCGCCCCACTGAGTGCCGCGCAATAGTTGCCTGGACCCCGGCGCAGGGGCAGGCTCACCAACTCTCCTCCAGCCCACGCGGGAGGTCTCCTGTTCCCGGAGACCACGGGTACAGTGGGGATTCTGGATCGGCTGTGCGGTGGGAACGCAGCCTGTTACTCCCGGTCTCTTCTGGGGGGGGGGGTGGCGGGATCCAGCTCTGGAACCCGAGCGCTTAGAGATCCAGAAAGAAGCCTAGTTAGTTCGGGACAAGCCCCGCCTGACTCAGGGGAATGACTCTCTGCTTCCTTCCTCCTGTCGTGTCACTGCAGCCTCGGACTTGGACCTCAGAGGAGGTACAGTGCTCTGGCTTCTTGCCTCTTCTATCTGTTCTGCATGTCGGGGAAAGGATGTCCGTGCCTCTTTCTCAGGTCTTCGGGGCGCAGACAGATTGGCCAAGGGGCTGGCGGAGAATGACCACCTCCACTCCGTTATCCCGGCTTGCAGAGCTGATGGAAAGGATCTAAAGTGTGTTTCGGGATGGGGGTGGGCTGCGAGGCGGCAGAAGGGGGGTGTGTACCTGAATTAAGCTGCCGGGATTAGGGCTGCATGGGCTTTGTCCTGGGTCATGGGGAACAGAAGCCCCCGCCCTTCCCCTTCCTGCAAATAAGAAGAGAAAGACACTTCCTGAAGGCAGGGGAACCAGATGCGCCTCAGGCATCCTTCCAGCTCTGGCGCTCTCTGGCACTCACCCCTGACTTGCCATGTGTGGCCCGGCTGGACCATACAGGAAACCCGTTGAAGGTGTCATGTTTTCCCTTGATAAACCAACAGTAGAAAAAAGGGGGACTGCCAGTAAATTCAGCTCCACCTTATGTTATGCCCATGGCCAGACTGAAGGTACCTGGAGCTCATTTTCCTTCTGCTGCCTCATTTGGAGCCCCCTTGAAGGAATCACAATAGCAGGGCTGGCCCAGGCTTCTCCCCAGGCAGCATGCCAGCGACAGCCTCCCTAGCCAGCGCCCCCCTTTCTCTCTGGAACAACGTCGTAGTGAAAATGTCCTGTTTTTGAGGCCTCCTAATTTGCTGATGGGCCCGTCCTGTTAGAGTTCTAGCAACAGCAGAAGAATAGCAGAGAAAGGGAGAAGACGCAAAACTCTTCTAACTTGTTGCTTATCGAGAATTTCCTTACAAAAACGATAAAGGGAGCAGTAGAAACAAGACTTCACAGGAGTCTCCTGGATTATCTGCATGTGCTCTGTTCCCATTTAGCACTGAAAATGCAGTTAACTGTGGGTAGCCTTTGCCCCGGATTCTGGTCAGTGTCGGGAATGGTGAATGCTCTCTGGTTCCCTGCACGGCTGCAAAACAAATTAGGAAAACGAGAACATTCCTTGAGGGCTGGGAAGAGGTTCCCAAACCAAAATCCTTCATCCCTTTCTCTGCGGCAGCAGTTCACACCCACAGCCCACAATCGGGCTCTTGCCTTGCAAGAGACTTCCGTTGTTGAAATTTGGTTTTCACTTGTACATTTGGGTCCAGAAGTATATGCTCTGTGCTTCTGCAGGCTAGGAACTGGCATTGTGGTTTCTGTATTCCCAGCACCTAGCACAGTGCCAGGCACAGAGTGTATATGCGATACATGTTGATGGAACGGAATTTGCACGCAGCAAGGTTTCACCCAGATGCCAGCTTGGGGGGGGGGGGTGGGTATGTACCGGTGAACAATTTGTCCCTCCTCAATAGAATCCCATCCATTTGACTGAGATGGTATTCAGCCCTTCCAGTGCCAGTCCGATAAGACATGTTACATAAGCTCCCAAAGCAGCCTGAAACTGAGGCGGAGTGGGAACTGGGCAGCATAGTTCAACGGTTAGGGGCTTGACTCTGTAATCAGAACCACATGCCGGGGAGGGACACGGAGGCCTTGTTATAAAGTAGCACTGATAGCTATGTGACCTTAGCCAAATTACTTAATTTCTCTGAGCCTCAGTTTTCTCCTCTGTAAAATGGGGCATAAACAAGAGCTACATCAGGGAATTACTATGAGAGTTCAAGGAGAGAACGTATAGATATAAATGTAGACGCCCTTAGCATAGTTCATGCCCCACGGTGAGAGTTCAGCAAACCTTATCTGTGTCTTTAGGCAGGATCGGTCATAGCAGAAGACCCCATAGACCTGATGCTCTTAGCTTCTGCTTACACCACAGCCTGGGCAAAATCTCAGTCCTACTATCCGGGCAAAGGGTCCCAGGATGGAGGAGCCCACCCCCAACTTCAGAACATGTCTCTTACCTGAAGGAAGCACCAAACAGAGAAAGCTGCCTATAAACCACACTGTCCCCTGAGACTTCCTGATGAGGTGGAAGTGTTATATGTGTGTGGCTTTAAGCAGAACCATAAATCTTCAGCTACCTCTCTTTTAAAGGATAGTCAAAAATGTCTGCTTTTCAAGACCTATAATGGAACCCAAACAAAACACGGAGTCCCTACACAATACAGTCATCAGAATTTAAATCACTGCATCTCCAATGCCAGAAGGGGTATTCACATGCTCTGAGAAGCTAAATGACATCATACAGTCCACGGATGAGTAATCAGGATTCCTGCCTGGGGGTAGCTTCATGCCCAGGCCACCGAGCATCCCTGCCCTGGGATACTTTGGGGAGTACTGAAATAGGTTGGCTTTTTTTTTTTTCTTCCAGGGCAGCCAGTGTGCCGGGGAGGGACACAGAGGCCTTGTTATAAAGTCGTTTACTTCCATGATGCTTCTCGAAGACTGAACTTTGAGGAAGCCAACGCAGCCTGCAGGAGGGATGGGGGCCAGCTAGTCAGCATTGAGTCTGAGGATGAACAGAGACTGATAGAAAAGTTCATTGAAAACCTCTTGGCGTCTGATGGTGATTTCTGGATTGGGCTCAGGAGGCACGAGGAGAAGCAAAGCAATAGCACAGCCTGCCAGGACCTTTATGTGTGGACGGATGGCAGCACGGCAACATTCAGGTAAGTGCGGAGAACCCGCAGCAGCTCACGCACTTGACGTAACTCAAAAAGGAGGGAGGCTGAATCCGCAGTACCCGGTCAGGGGAGAAGAGAAGGCCCAGCCAGGCAGAGCCCAGAGGATAGCACTGGCCAAAGCAGGGAGGTGAAGGTGGTCAGTCAGCCTGGCTCTTTGCCCACCTCATGTCCCAAGAGCTCTGTCCAGGAAGATGTGGTCCAGAAGTATTGTTTTAGCAGCACATGATGTTTGAAGTCAGGGGTTCTGGCTATCCAGCCTTTTGGATTAGAACCCCAGTGAGAGATTGAAGGTCTGTGGAGCTAAGACTCAGACAGGGAGTGGGCCTGGATGGGCCAAAGCGGGACTTAAGGAAGCCTACATTTTGGAGGACCGTCCTAAACCCACAGCATCAGGACTCACTCATTTCACACCCCACCCTGGCACCATGGCATTGCCATTGTCCCTCCCTAAGAAATGCAGTGACATGGACAAATATCAAAAGATATCAAAGTTAAAAGGCAGACATAAGACTGGGAAAATGTAACAAATTACAGAGAAATTATCTTTTTATGATAAAGAGTCTAAGTCATTAAGACACTAAAAGCTTATGTAAGTCAATAAACTTCAAAAGATAAAGAGGCAAAAGACCTGAGCAGCTGAAAAATGGAAAATCTAACTGGTAAATGCTCACATGAAAAAAAAGTTTAAACTCATTATCAATCAAAGGAATGCAGATTAAAATATATGTTTTTTACCCATTACCTTGAAGACAGCAGATCAGCATCTGTCGAAGTCTACCCATTATGCTAATCAGATCCACATCTTCCATCTACGTGCCAGGGGTGGCCCCTCCAGGGTTCTCATGGGCTTCTCTTCCTGGAAGAAACTTTAAAAAGGAAAGTTAGTGGGGCGCCCTAGTGGCTCAGTGGGTTAAGCGTCCCACTCGTAATTTCAGCTCAGGTCTTGATCCCTGTGTTGGCCTCTGTCTGGGCATGGAGCCTGCTTAGGATTCTCTCTCTCCCTCTCTCTGTGCCCCCGTCTCTAGTTTAAAAAAAAAGGAAAGTTAGTAGGATGAACTTCACTCCCCACCACTCTAGCTGGTCCCAGGGCCCCAGCTGATACTCACTGACCTCCCTCCTCTACTATCCAGTCCAGAGTCCCCTCCCTGTCTGCTCAGGGAGCCTCAGTGGCTGACCTTGTGGCAGCACCCAGACCCTCAGCCCTGAGGAATGTGAGGCCCCAGTCACTTTGCACTTCTCAGGCTGGGGTGATTGCACCTTTCCATTTACCATCGAAATGGGGTATGTGAGGACCCACAGGAACCCAAGTAGATAACCTGGAGGCCAAACGTATTTCTTCCTACCCCGAATGGGTGACAGCATAGCTACCTCCTCCTGAGATTAGGGCCAGTTACCTCCTACAAAGATAACCACTGCTCTTCTTGCCTGCTGGTCTCTGGACACAAGGTTCCCAGAGTGCCCAAGGGGCAGCCATCACTCAAGAGTTTAATAAGACTTTTCCTATATCTTCTGGTGGAAGTATTTTGCGGCACCCAGACCCCTGTATTCTTACTCTTGGGGACACGGGATGATACAAAGGTCATTGATTCAAAGCGTGCACTGAGTCTTGGAGGATAATGCTGCCTCCTTGCAAAGTATTCCCTCTAAGCTAGTTCTTCGGCTATGTTGTCAACAAATTTTTCCATCATTCTGTCAGGCTAGCAACTTCCAGATGGTGCAACATGTGACATGACTAGTAAACCCCTGGCGACCAGCCTACTCCACACCTCCTCTGCTATAAAGTAGGTCCCTTGGACTGATGAGGTGTTGTTTGGGGTTCTGTGCCCGTAGATCAAATAATGGATAGTGGCGCTGACTGAGGCCCTGAGGCGGGAAAGGCGAATCCATACCCGGACTCTATGTCTATTCCTGTCAAAGGGAACCATTGCCCCTTTCAGAATGGAAGGAGTCCAATGTAGTCAACTTGCTACCAAATGCCAGGTTGGTGTCCTAAGGTCGGTGTTCCTTCAGGGATTTAGCTTTGGTCTCTGTTGCTGGCAGGTTAGGTGTTTGGCCGGAGCTAGATCAGTCTTGGTGAGTGGAAATGGATCCTGCCGACCCCATGCATAAGCTCCACCCCTTCCACCATGGCTACTCTAGTACGTGTCTGTTGTGCGAGCACTGGGGCGACCGATCACAGGCTGGCTGGCGTCCACTGGCTGAGTCATTTTGTCTCCCTGGCCGTTCAGTGCCTCTTCTATGCTAGATGCTTTCTGGTGGGCTTAACATGTGATAGATCCTCATACTTTCTGCCTATTCCCATACGTCTATTCACATCACATCACGCTATCCGAGAGTTCCCCATCCCCAATCTTCTTCTCTTTCTCCTTTTAGACTCCTGATCAGCTGGCCAAGCTCTTGCTTTACCCCTGAGTCCTTATGTATTCTAACCTCCAGGAACGTCTCGTTCCATGCAAGGCAGTTAACTAGGCATACCATCTAAGCTGCAGCCATGGGGAGGATGTCCTCTTACCCCTTGATCTTTCAAGGCCGATTCTGAGTGCGGTCATAGTGCAGTTGCTGTCCAGTGGAGCTGTACTCCCATCCTTGGCTGATCCATCCATGAACCGAACTCGGGCAGCCTCTGTCAGCCAGTCATAAGGGATTGATTCCCTTATGCAGGGATAGGTGTAAACTGAGGGAGAGACCTTGGAATGACAGTGGGAGATGCCATGGCAGTTTGCTCTGCCTGCTCATACAGGCCTCTTTGGTCCTGGATCTACCTCTTCCATCTTAGAATGGATCACTTCTGGGCCTGCCCAGCTGGGGACTAGGTGTGTCTGACAGTACCACACTCACGATGGGCAAGCTGGATCGCACGGTCTCTTGGTGCTTCTTGCCTAGTAGCAAGCCAGGAGTTGTTTTGCAAAAGGTGATTATTTCTCAGCTACAGATGACATGACCTTGCTGTAGAATCCTAGGGGTCTACATTGTGATTCCCTCATTGGGGCTTGCCACAAATTCTCTATGGCATTATTTTTCCCATCACTGATACCTCTACTAATAAGATCTCCTAGACCATATGGCCCAACTGACAAATCTGCTTATACCACAGCCTAGAACCTGCTTCAGGGTCCTTTTTACCTCTGGACTTCACTCAAAGCGGGCTGTCCTTCATGTCAACTGCTATATGGGCCAGAGCAGTATTCCCCAAGCGTGAAATAGGCTGCCTCTAGAACCCAGGGAGGCCTACTAGGTGCTATGTATCCTTCTTCACATTATTGTAAGATGCTTCAAGATGCAGTATTTGTCCTTTAATATGAAAGGGATGTTCTGGCATTCCCTAGATCACTAGCAACTGACATCTTAACCCCTGGACACATGAGGGTCTTACTTAGCTTACCTGGTTCAATAGCATGTCAGAAATATTAGCAGACCAGTGTGATTTTCTGCAAGATGTCTAGGTAGTCCAGGTCTCCTCATACCACCTTATGACAGAGAGTTTGAAAATTAGTATAGGCCTGAGGCAAGACCATAGATGTATACTGTTGTCCATTCCAAATGAATGCAGACTGTTTCTGATTCTCATTCTGATAGAAAATATTGTGTTCACCGGATCTGCACATTATGTAGCCAAGGGCCTGTTAACCGGCTCTAGCAAAGATACCTCATATGGCACAGCAGCTATAACTGAGACTTCTACTTAGTTGTGTTTATGCTACTCTAGTATCGTCCTTCGGGATCTGCCCGGTTTTTGCAGGAGCCAGACCAGTGAACTAACTAGAGATATGGTGGACACTACCCCGCCCCCGGCATTCTCTGGCTCTTCAGGGGTGGTAGTACTTTCTGTCATCTTCCCCTGGATAAGATACTGGTTTTTTATTTATTACTCTGGAGAGGGTGGGGAAGAGTGCAGTTTCAGAAACTTGCACTTGACCTAGTCCACTACTGTAGCTCTTACCTCATAGGCTAAAGAACCAATGTGGGACTATACCAACTACCAAATATGGCTGTTCAAGCCATGTGTTTGGAGACTGGGCAGATGACCACTGGATGGGTCCCACCATGAGCTGGTCCTGGGGCAGAACTCCATTTACTACCTGGCCTCAATATGCCCCTACTCTAATGGGCAGCCTTGATGACATTTCAAGTTTTCAAATATCAATGTCACCTTGCATCCTGTGCCCAACCGTTCTTATTGTATTTGGATATTCCCCTTCCCCCAGTGCATGGATACTCTACTAAGTGGCCATAGGTCCCTTTGGGAGAAGAGGAAAAATCATTACCATGTGCACAACTGTGGTGTTGCAGGGTCCTTCCTCCTGAGAACCTGGCCTCCTCTTCTACCAGTGAGTTACAAGCCTGAGAGCTGGCTTGAGTCCGCGACCTAGGTGCCAGGCGTAAGATTCCATCCATTCTATCATCTGTGAAATGAAATAACATAAAGCCATAAGGTCATTGGGGAAGAGAACAAGGCAAGTCAAGGTAGGAGGTCCACCACCTGGGTTGGAAAATGGCCTGGAGGCAAATAATGGGTCAGAGCCCAGCCTAAGTCAGGGCCCCCAGCGGTCCATTCACAGCATCCAAGCAGTGTTGCAAGTTCAGTTATTGTCCAGGCAAGTTCAACCCAGTGGGTGTAGCAAAGGATCTTCTCTTTGGTGGATGGTAACATAGCACTCAAGCAGAGCCATACTGAGGTGCTACAAGGAGACCTGTCTCTCAGCTGCCTCCTAAGAAGGGGCTCTGACAAGATCTGGGAGAGCAGCAGGACCCAGCTAAAGAATCTGAGCATCAGGGCAAGATCTGGGCCTCAGAAGGAAGCAGCTCAGGTGGGTAACCATAACCCCGCAGACTATGAAGCCCAGCCTCGAGTCAATGTGTGCAGTGAGTGCTCACAGCATTTAGACTCTCTATGGACTCCAAGGTCTTACCCTGGCATCATTATATCCAACTGGGTGGTAGCACCATTTAATTCCAAGTATCACTGGGTAGTGGAGCTCAGGCTACTAATGCACCCCATCCAGGAGCAAGGAAGACAAAGACAAGAAGTCTGGCCACAGAGGCAGAAGGAGGGGCTCATCTGCCTGATGAAGTGGAAACAACTTAAAAACTGAAAAAGACTATGTGGCCCTTCTGCTCTCGTCCCCACCCCCTCACTTGCTTTGACAGCTTCTACATTCTGGAAAGTCTTGCTCAGATGCTTACATTTTCCATTTACTTCCCGGGGCTAGAAAGGCAGTTGTGATGGTTGAAAAGCACAGAGAGATTTGAGCAGGGCAAGCTCTGGCTGAGATAAGCCATGCCTCTTCTCAGTGCATCTGATTTCTAAAACAAAGAGAAACAGAAGCCAGTTAGCAAAAAGCAAAGAAGAAATAAGATCATCCAGACTGGCCCTGCTAGCTGCTTTTTCTCATAATTACTTTGCAGATATCATAGGGTAATATATTCCTCCCTACAAAGAGGTTGTGGTAAATGTCAGATGATTGATCTCGATGTCCACATTAGAAAGCACATGTTCCACTTATTGGCAGGACTCCAATTCCTGCCTCTCTCTGTATTGTCTTCCAAAGCAGAATCCTAAGTTGGTGGCTCAACGGAACTTGATGGGCAAACAAAGGTTTTGAAGTCTTGGGGTTTCCTCCTCCAGTGGTCTCCATTGTTGACCCCTTCCCTACAGGAACTGGTATGTGGATGAGCCTTCGTGCGGCAGCGAGGTCTGCGTGGTCATGTACCATCAGCCATCCGCACCTGCTGGCGTCGGGGGCCCCTACACGTTCCAGTGGAATGATGACCGATGCAACATGAAGAACAATTTCATTTGCAAATATTCCAATGGTAATGAATCCCTTCCCAAGTTACATGGTTGAATTCGCAACTTCCTCTCTTACTTCATAAGCAGCTGCTAGTTCCCAGAATTTGTTACATGGTCTCTGAGAAAGCTTGCTGCAAATACTAGCCATGTTAAACACTGGCGAATGCAGTGACAATTCCTCACTGAGGAGTACTCCTAGCCAGGGAGGGGAGTGTCTGATGCCAAGAGAAGGGAAGGGTCTAATTTATGTATGACAAAGCGAGAATTATGAGAAACACAAGGAACAAAAATCCCTCTAAGTGGACAATCACAAGTTCTTATTCTTTCCACATGTGAGGTTGGCTGTAGGAACTTGGGAAAAAGAAGAAATTTGAAAGGGAGCTGGTCATTGTTGCTGGGTCTTCTAACAGCCACATGACATGATTTTCTGGGGCTTTAAGGAAACAGCATAATGACCAGTGGAGGTAGATGATGGAGTACCCTGATTTCACTGACATTGGACAGATAGCTGTCACCTTGAGGAGCAGGCTTAAAACACCCTCTAGCTATGCCTTGCAAATTCAACTGGCATTTGCTTCTAGATCTGTTAAGTGTTTTGAATTGGCTACAAGCCTGCAGTCTCACTCTGCTGGGGTTTCCCAAACTCCTCCCTCATAACTGACTTAGATCTAAACTTGAAGTGAATTGAATTTTGATCTGTCCCTGAAGTTTCTCAGATCCCCGAAGCCTCCTGATGGGTCCAAGTCCTGCACCGTCTCCTGGCCAGAATAGAATGACTTCTTAGTTATATCTAGTTAAAGACTAAGTAGTCCTAAAATCGTTTGAATTTAACTGTTTTTGCTGTGATTTTTGCTGCTACAAGTTGTTTTCCCCACCCCCTCCTTCATCCTTCCCCTGTGGGCTCTGTGAAGTTGCCCAAGAGCTCTTAACTGCTGTTCCCTGTGCTTGGAACATTCCTACCCTTGCTCAGACAACTCATTCTCACCTTTGGGGTTTACGCTGAACATCATCTTTTCTCATAACACAGCTAAGTGCAACAGGTGATTGTGGATTTGAACCTGGACGATGATGGGATGGTTTCCTATAAAGGGCAGTATTAGGACGATTGGCAGAATTTGAATAAGGTCTGTAGATTAGGTAATAGACTATCAATGTCGATTTCTTGGTTCTGATCACTCTACTGTGGTTACATAAGAGCCTGCCCCCCACCCCAACTTTTTAAAAACATACTGAAGTAATTAGAAGTAAAGAGTAACCATGTCTGCAACTTATTCTCACAAAAAAAGTTACACGTGTCTGTATGTATTTTTCGTACATGTGTGGGTATACACATAGATATAAATAAAAATATAGATTCATAGACATAAATATAGAGAGATAAAGAGAGACAGAATAAATAAATGAAATCTGATAAAATCGTGACGTTTGGGTGAGGCTATATGGGCACTCTTCGTACTATTTTAGCAAATTTTCATAAATCTGGGATTTTTCAAAATAAGAAGTTAAAAAAATTTCCTTTGGGAAACCTTCCAGGGGCCCCTCAAAAGCAAGTTAGGTTTTCCTCCTAGGAGGATTTTAGCACCTCACACACACGGTACTTTAACTGCCTGTTTATAAGTTTGTCCCTTTCACTACATGGCTGGTGTGAGGTCTAAAGTCGTACATGTTTGACCAGTTAATCCCTGCACTTGATGGGCGAGGGGAGGGTCATCCAGTGCAGTTCCAACAGGATGGCACACCATCTATTATGCCAGATATCCTATTATCTGGCATAATAGATGGCAGATCTATCTGGGCAAGCGACTGGTTGAATAACGTCTAAAACTGGACTTGACAACATGACCACGTAGAGTAGGTGCATGCTAACCAGACCTGAACCCTTGCTTAGTTCTAGGGTCTGCTAAAGGTGTAGGTGTCTTCAGTGAAAATCAAAGACAAATCATCTGAGGCAACGCATCGCAGATGCATTGCAGGGACTGATGGAAATGATGCCTTAATGTGCCGTGTTTAATGCAGTTTTGCACAGTGGATTGAGCCATGGAGGGACAAGAAAATGAATAGGTCATGTCATGTTATTGAATATACTACATACTATAATGTAATATCACAAAATTACTATTTGTTAATATCATCCTGTCTTTCCGTACGTTATGGCCATCCTATAGCGTCTAAGAGCCAGAGAGAGCTGGAACTGTTCTCATCTGCTATTATATCGCCACTACCCTGCACAGTTTTGGTCTCCTTGCAATTTTAATTTTCACTTGAATTTATCTGGTTCAAATTCCAGCTCAGCTACTCACTAGCTGTGAGATTTAGACAAGTTATTTAATCTCCCGGTACCTCGGATAGATGGCGTACAAAACCACCAGAATAATAGCAAGTACCTCATAAGGCTGTTGGCAGGGTAAATCGTGTTTGTTTTTATAAAACACTTAGAACATGGTGATGTTTCTATCATATAGAAGGCACTATATAGGTGGGGCTTTTAAAATAAATAAATAGATTTGCATCACTTTTGTGTACTTGCGTTCACATGCACAGACACACACACACTCTCTCTCTCTCTCTCTCTCTCTCTCTCATGGGAAGAGGATTAAAAGTTTCCTTCAGAAGCTTCAGAATAGCCTTGGCATCCTGGCCTTAGGACTGTGAATTCCAAAATCATGCCCTTTAAGGACCCCATCCCTATGAATCCCAGAGCACTTGATGAGCATGAGAGATTTACTACCAGTACCTTAAGGGGACACTCCCAGCCCAAGGTAAAAACATTCAATGTAGATTATTTGTGCAGCCTGATTTTCCTGAGGCTCTTTGAGGTATTTAAAAGGACTTGGGTTCTAGATCACCAGTGTCCGCCTTGGGGCTGGTGGTGGTCTGCTTCCCTGCCCCCAACCACAGTCCACTCCTGGGAGATCAGTGTTTGTTACCCTCTAAAACATCCCCAGAGGGAATTGTTAAAATGTCTTTGACTGCTTTAAAATAATCCAGGCCTGAGTGTAGCTGGGAAGGGGTAGGGGTTACTTTTGAAACTAGATTAGCCATATGTTGATAAGGGTTGAAGCTGAGTGATGGTACATGAGGGTTCATTCTAACACTCTTTCTATTTTTGTGTATATTTGGAAATTCCCGCATTTAAAATTTTAAAATACTTTTTTTAAAAGATTTTATTTATTTCTTTGACACACACAGAGAGAGAGAGCACAAGTAGGCAGAGCGGCAGGCAGAGGGTGAGGGAGAAACAGAATCCCCGCTGAGCAGGGACCCCGACGTGGGGCTCGATCCCAGGACTCCGGGATCATGACCTGAGCTGAAGACAGCCGATCAACCAATTGAGCCACTCAGGCGCCCCTAAAGTTTTAAAATACCTTTTAAAACTTTAAAAAAATACCCAGGTAAAGCTGGGGGAAGGCTAGACTTGCTGCAAAATTTCTTTTGACTTACTAACCCAGATCTTGGCATCTAGTAACACTAAAGTTTATCAGATGAGTGAATGAGTAAATAAGTGGATGCCATGATCTGGCCAATTTCATCCAGATGGCATGGAAATTTAGTTACTATTTTCATATTTGTTTCTTTCTGCCACAGAGAAACCAACAGCTCCTTCTACAAAGCCTGGAGGTAAGCCTATCATTTGAGATTTGGGTTAATCTGGGCTGTTTCCCAGGCCCCTTTTATGGGTTTAGAACCGTGTGTTCTTTAGACCAGATTTTCCAACAGGAAGAGGACTGGTGTGAAGTCAGACTATTTAGAGAGATGTATGCCACACCCAACCCTGTCAAGTAGTTCATTAATCTCTCTCTCTGGTATTGCCCATTTCTCCCAAAGCTGAAAAGCAACAACCACAAATTCAGTTTGGGATGTGACTTGTCATTATTGACAGTATGAAAGGAATAATTCAATCTAATGAGAAAAGAAGTGAGCCACACGGATAATTTATGGTCCTCGGAGTGAGTCATTGGCCCAGGCCTTTGGCACCTCTGCATTCTATGTGCCTTGACACCAGCCACCTGCTGTCTGTTTAACTACAGGATTCTTGGCAGCGAAACTCTCACCAGGAGGATGAAGACAATTAAACCTGTAGGCCAGCAAATTCAACCCTTTACTTTTCTATGTTTATAAATGGCCTGGGTCAAATTGCTGCTGTCTTTTGGTATCCCCCCTACAACCTGGTAGGACCTCAGAGATTATCTGGATTGTGAGGCCTTCCCCCGGGTTCTCAAGTGAATGTGTCTGCTTCCAGATGAAGGAACAGGGCCAGCAACACCCATGCTTCCGGAAGACACGGGGGAAGAAGATGCCAGAGAGACATTTAAAGGAAATGACGGTATGGACTGAACTCTCCCGGGGAAAATAGATGATGGGACTCTCTTGATCACAAATTACCCAAGATTATATTTTCTACTTTGTTCCTTCCCTCAGCTACTTAAAAAACAAACTAGACAGGGCATCTGAGACTTTGCAGAAAGTGCATGCGGTGCTGGGGTTGGTCAGGGAAGCGCCTGGGGAGAGTAGACTGGCCAGGAGGTGAAATGCCTGCGTGACGACGTGGGAGGGGGTAGAATACCCGACAGTCGTGGGGGTGGGAGTGGGGCCCTGCAAGAGCAGAAGGCAGGATGTGGGATGCATGATGTCCGTGCTTGAGATTCACTTGTGGAAAGAAAGAAAGGAGACGGGCAAAAACATTTTACAATTCAAATCATAAAGGATCAAAGAAAATGGGGTGATAAATTAGAGTGCTAATGGAATTTCAACCTCGAGCCTCTCACCTTGAATGTTAAGAGGGAGATCTGGGTTTGTGTCACTGGACATTAAAAAAGCACATCATTTCTCTGTGCTTTAGTGTCCTCTTTTGCATCACAGAAGTAATGCTGTATTTCTCACCTGTCTGAGAGCACCACCGTGCCCATGAAATGAAATAGGATATTGTAATACTGCACTTCAGTTCTGACACCAGCCACCCCAACTTAGGGCAAACCCCACAGGTGAAAGGCTCCGTCCCCCACAAGTCTGCCCTCCCTGCAGACATCGATCACAAGTTCAGGGGTCCCCAGGCCACTCCCACTTCTGATAAGCTGGCTACAAATCCGGAGGATGCCCACGACCCTCTCAGTTGTGCTAACTCACAAAATGGCTCACAGAATTCAGGAAAACACTAGACTTAGGACTGCATTTTATTGTAAAGAATCCAAATCAGGAGCAGCCAGCAGAGGAAACAGATTGGGTAAGGTCCAGGAAGGTCCCATATCGAGATGCATAATCACCCTCCTGGCACATCAATGTGTTCACCAGCCAGAAAGCTCCACTGAACTTTGGTGCGCAGAGACTTCACTGAGGTGTTATTACAAAGGTATGATTGATTTGGTCATTGGCCGTATAACTGAACTCAATCTCTAGGGCCCCCCTCAACCATCCTGAGACCCCACCCGTCCCCCTCCTGTGACATCTCATCAGCATAAACTCTGACACGGTCTGAGGGACTCATGAATAACAGAGTTACTCCTATTACCTGAGAAATTCCAAAGATTTAGAGTCTCTCTTCCAGGAACCAGGGACAAAGGCCAGTCAAATTTTTTTTATTATACAACAGATAAAACATGTTGAAAATGCTTTGAAAAAAGTACAAAGTGCTGTGTAGAGTTGGGTGGCGTTTTCATTGCTCATTGTTATCATGGTGGCACTTAAAGTGGGTTTTGTTTTGGGCCCTTTGTGTGTGTGTGTGTGTGTGTGTGTGTGTGAGTGTGTGTGTGTGTGGTTGTCAGGTTTGCAGCCTCACAGGAAAACAAAGCAACAGCTTCTAGAAGGTTGGGAACTTTGGACCAGTGGGAGTAAGAAAGGGGTCAGTCGCCAGTCCTTGATTCTTCCTAAAGGCCCATGACAGAAAATTCTTTGGTTCTAAGTCTTAAAGGACAGGAAAGGTCAGGATAGCAGGCCTCTGAGTGCCCGCCACAGTCACTGCTCTTGGCCCCAACTGGAGCCAATTAGATTTAGTCAGATTTGTTGCGAAGGTCATGTACTTCACGTGACCTTCTCCTTCCTAGTAATAGCACTGAGACTTGCTTCTCTCTCCCTGCCTCTCTCTTCCCGAGCCGAAGACATCAACACTGCCCAAGCAGCCCCTTTGTTAAGGGAGAGCAAGGCAAGAAAAGAGAATCTCTTCCCTCTGGAGAAAAAAGTGTGATTAAAACAGTGCACTTCTGACATTTTGCAAGAAACTCCAACATGTAAACTTCTTTCCTCTATTACTTAGGGTCTTAGCGCAGGTAGAAAATGCTCACTCACTGAAACTAGAAGGCTTTGCTAACTGGCTAACTGTACACACATCTCCTTCCGGGAAGATGCTCTTTGCAATACTCTGTGTTGATTACGCTTTTTTAAGCCTGTTCTGAAGTTCATAAAAACATCACTAGTGCTGATAATAATACGTTTTGTTTTGTTTTGTTTTGTTTTGTTTTTTCCAGAAGCTGCCTTGAATCTTGCTTACCTTCTGATCCCCAGCACCATCCTTCTTCTTGTGGTCATCATGGTTGTGTTTTGGGTTTGGATCTATAGAAGGAGGCAAGTAAAACCTTCATTTTGTAAACCTGTGTATCTTCTGGACTCTTGGAGATTCGGACATTGCTCTGTTTGCTTCATGAAAAGCCACAGCAGCTCCAAGAGAATTACCATTGCAGATTTGAGAGTAAATTCTCTGATGGCCTCCGGATATTCAGAAGTACTAAGCATTTGTGCTTAGTCGTGATTAAGAAAGTGATCTTATAGTCATTAATTTTTTTTTAAAGATTTTATTTATTTATTCATGAGAGACAGAGAGAGAGAGGGAGAGAGAGAGAGAGAGAGGCAGAGGGAGAAGCAGGCTCCCAAGGAGCAGGGAGCCCGATGCGGGACTCGATCCCAGGACCCTGGGATCATGACCTGAGCCGAAGGCAGACGCTTAACCATCTGAGCCACCCAGGCGCCCCTTATAGTCATTAATTTTTGTGTGTGAAAGATTTCAAATGACTTGAGGGTGAAACGGTTATTCACCTCCTTAGTAGCCACACATCGCTCAGCAAAGTGCCTTCATGAATGTACGCTCTCTCTCCAAAAATGTTTGTTAGTTGGGTGAAGGAATAAATAGTGAGCCATTGAAAAATGACTGTCCCAAAGCCTTCTGGCAAACATCTGAAACAGAATCCCTTTATTCAAAATGAAATAGCTAAAGCCTTTTAGTTGACTTTGCTTTTAATTGAATATACAATTATAGATTGCTACAAAATAGCTACACTAAGTGGCCTAGAGCATCTCTATTTATGGATCGTGTGCCACCATTTTTGAGGTTCCCATAGCTCCTCTCAGTTGCCTTTTTATTCCCCAGCATCATGCCACACATAGAAGAAGGCTGGTCTGCCCATTTTACAACAGGAAAACTGAGTTTCAGTTTAAGATTCGACTCCCTTTAATGACTATTTTATGATGAATTAGTAAGATTTCAATGCACAGTTGACCCTGGAACAACATGGGTTTGAACTGTGTGGGTCCACTTATACATGTTTTGGGTATTTTTCAATAAATACAGTACAGGACTGTAAATGTCTTTTCTCTTCTTTATGACTTTCTTAATAACATTTTCTTTTCTCTCACTGACTTTATTGTAAGGATACAGTATATAATACATATAACATGTAAAATATGTGTTAGGCTTCCAGTCAGCAGTAGGCTATGAATGCTTCAGTTTGGGGTCAAAGTTACATGCAGATTTTCAACTGCACAGGGGCTTGGTATGCATAATCCCCTCATTGTTCAAGGGTCAACAGTAGAACCTGCTTCATTTAATAATATCTTCCTTATAGGATTATTAGAAGAATTAAAACAGTTAATTCATGCAGAATGGGCATATAGTAAACACTCAAAAATGTTAGTTCTTACTATGATCCTTTTTATTAGTTAATTCATTTTGATCTAAAAATAGAATTCAATTTAAAAATTGGTAATATATTTCCCAACTACTTACTCTGCAGTTTTTTGTTTTTGTTTTTGTTTGTTTGTTTCCATTTCATGGTCTATTTAGCCCCTCACCAGGAATTGTGAATTGTGACTTTGAAGCTGGAGTCTATCTCAAGGGTTATTAACCTTTTTGTGCCACAGACCTCTATAGCAGCTGGGTAAAGCCTATGGACCCCTTCTCAGAACAATATCTCTAAATATATAAAATAAAATATATTGGATTGCAAGGGAAGCAATTGTACTGATATAACAATTTAGCAAAATATTTCCAAAACATGAATGTGATTCGGTAATACACGTGTTTCTCTATTAATGTTTCTTTATTTAGTGGTGAGTATAATTAGCATAATTTTGAAGTAGAGATGAGTGTAGAATATTTTAAGGCATCTACGATAACGGTGATGAGATATGAAAATGTCCGTGATTCTGTTGGTGATCAAGTCAAAGATATTACTAATTCTACTCCGATTTATTGCCTACGTTTAGAACGGAAGGACAGGCTAACTTTCACTTGGAGATGAGCTTTTTTTAAATGTGATATTTTTTCCCCATCCAATTCTATCCATGGATGCTCTGGCAGCTCTGGGGATCCCAGGACAACCACCTCTGTTCTATGCTGGGGCAGCAGTGAATGGTAGCTAGGCAATCACTTTCCTGTTTTGGTACCCTACCTCACCCCAGAGCCCTGACTTGGATGTTTCCGCAGGTGAGAAGTGCAGTGTAGTGATTGCCCAGGATGACTTCCTCCTGCCTGAGCAGGAGACACAGGGATATTCTCAATCCCCCCCATCTAAAATACTTGGCCCTGGTTTTCTTTCCTCCTAGGAAACGGGAGCAGCCAGGCCCCAGCACAAAGGAGCAGCACACCCTCTGGCCCTCTCCTCACCACGGGGACTGCCCAGACCCAGAGGTTTACAACATCATCCGAAAACAAAGTGAAGCCGATTTAGCTGAGACCCGGCCAGACCTGAAGAACATTTCATTCCGAGTGTGTTTGGGTGAAGTCGCTCCCGATGACATGTCTTGTGACTATGACAACATAGCTGTGAACCCCTCCGAAAGTGGATTAGTGACTCTGGCGAGCATGGAGAGTGGCTTTGTGACCAATGACATTTACGAGTTCTCCCTGGACCGAACGGGGAGGAGCAAGGAGTCTGGGTGGGTGGAAAATGAAATCTATGGTTATTAGGACACATGAGAAACGCTTGAGCAAACGGGAACAGGGAAGAAAAGAGGCAGCTTCTCCTGTTTTCTACGAGGAAAAGACTCAGAATGTCTATGAAAATGCTCAGATCAGGTTGTGGGGTGAGCATGTGATCTCCATTAGGCCCTGTTGGATCCCTAAGTTTGGCCATATCCCTTATCCCAGCTTCTCACCCAGATCAAGCTTATGAGAAAGCACCTTGCCCGCGGTCAGGCATGTAGTAGAAAATAAATATCAATTGATGGGTTATTTCTGACTTGCAAGGGACTGTGCTTTCCTTGGCAGGGATAAGGTTGTGGCTGCGGGACTTGGGAAACCCACCTCTAGGTTCCGTTTTTCTTACTCTGTACAGCAGCATGTATAATTACAAAGAGACAGAAATTACAGAATCTTTGCAAAGCCCACGTCCTCTGGCATCAGGCGGGCCCGTGCATCAGCGATTCTTAGATCTGTTTTTTTTTTCAAAGAATCAAATCAAATCAAAAGCAGGAAGCAGAATGTTAGTCTGTCTGTGTCTACAGCCCTTCCTCTGCATGTGGCCTCAGGGGACCTCTTTTTCTTTCTCCTCACATCCAAACTTGGAAATATCCAACTTGGAAATACTTTACAAACTGGAACTGAAATCCGAGTCTCGGCTTCCAGGCGTATTTGCGTGCCCAGCCCTGATAGTGCTGTTTATTCTGCTTGCGTGTTCGTTCTACTGAAGCATCAACACAATATTGCTGATAATGGTAATGATTCTTCCTTTTTGCTGTAGGGACCTATTTCAGGTACTTTTGGACTCATATCCACAGAAAAGTTTCTTGGCCTAATACCTGTTGTTTACACGTTGAAGGTCTGAGGGCTCTTATTTAATATCACCAGCAAAGCCCTTCTGTCTTGTTATTTTAAGCTTTCCTCATATATCTTATTTTTTCATAGTTTGTCACTTTGCCTCCCAAGCCCCGAACTAGACAGCGTTAACTGGTCTGGGTCAGAGCAGTACCACGTGCAGTGGATTGTAATCACCGCCCAATTACCCGCCCCACTGGGGCAGAGAGCAGGGTGGACGACAAACTCGTCACTTAAGCCTGCTTCCAGGAAGTGTAGTTTGTGGACTTACAACATTTTTTTTTAAAGATTTTATTTATTTATTTGACAGAGAGAGAGTACAAGCAGCGGGAGCAGCAGAGGGAGAGGGAGAAGCAGGCTCCCCGCTGAGTGGGGCTGGATCCCAGAACCCAGAGATCATGACCTGAGCTGAAGGCTGACACTTAACCAACTGAGCCACCCAGGCGCCCTAACTTAAAACACTTAAAGCAAAAAGAGTGACCTCATGGTCTGAAGGATTGGGTCGTTGCTCCAAAACATCGAAGTTCCCATTTTGCTTCAGATGTCCTGGCTCTATAATCTCTCCTTTCATCCCCCTCTGCCGCCCTCCTTGGGCCCCTATGAGGCTGTACCTCCAACAGGGTAGGGATCCTATGTGCCCTGTCAGCATCGTACCTCCTACACCCCAGACCACACCTGGCACAGAGTAGACAGTATTTGTTGAATGCATGAACACTTAATTTTTCAGATCGATGTAGAGTAGTATATATATACATATAAATATATATATCAGCCTAAAAGTTTGTAGCACCCGTCATTCACACCCTGCCTGAGTTGGGGAGGTCAGTGGGTTATTTTAGTTTAAAAGGCATTCCTTTCGCCTAGGAAGAAGGAAGCGCGTAACAAACAGAAGCTGAATTGCGTTAACAACTTACTTTATGTTGCTGAAGCTGGTAACCAAAGCGTTAATGGGACTAAGAAGAACAGCTGCAACTTTTTACCCAGGCCCCTTTTATTTGCCTTTAAATTTCCCTGACTCTTGACTCTCCTTTGGGGGGAGGTAGAGTTGAGGCTTGTCTGTTGGGCTCCTCATCTGGTCGCCTCTCAGAGAAGCCCTTTCCTCACGGCTTACTCGATGTCTCAGTGTTAGCTGTACATCAGACACACAAACTTGGGTTTGGGTACAAAGTTGGCAAACCAGCTAGGAGCTCCTTGCTCATGGTTCATCAGTAAGGGAAGTCTGGTGACCGTCCAAGCGGCTGCCTAGGCTCTTGGTCCCAGGGACGATCACAGGGGCCCCACCCCACCTGGGTACCGCCAACCTTCGGCACCAAATATAACTCCGGCAGCAAAGAACTAGTTTGGGGGTTTGGTTTGGACGGACATCTCTTGGTGAGTACTTCATGTGCAATGGCACGTGACCTTGTTTCTTCTGTTTGGTTCATTCGGTGAAGCTCTGGCTTTTGGGGAGGAACCGATGCTTACTACTGGTACCCAGGACTTCATTTGGTTTGTTTGTTGTTGCAATTTTTGGTATCTTTGAACAAAACTAGCCGTGTTCCAATTGGGATATGGGAAATGACCATTTGATCCCCATATGCAGCCCTTTGGGTTGTAGTCTCTAAAATTGGGTAATTTTTTTTTTTTTTGCAACACTGCTTGGCCGCAGTATTTGTTAGACTCCTAAGAAAAATGACCAATTAATGGATCTATAAATTATGATCTCATCTTACAATGGATTTGTTTTGTAAAAAGATTATATTTGGAAATTGGGCCTTTAAGATTTTGTTTGCATCATGTTTGTGTATTTGTATGTGCGTCCATGTATGTTGTAAACGTGAGCTGTTTTCTCTCTCTCTGGATGGTATCGCTAAATTTCATTTAGTTGGCTTAAAGGCAAACACTTATAATAATTGGGCATTCTAAAACTCAGAAAAATTGTAACTAACCCAAACATCTTTCAAGTTTATGTGATCTGGGAAAATGTTTGATATTGAAGCTAATTTCAGGTTGTTGGGTTTATTAAAATGGACCTGTCTTTAGAGTTGTTGGCATTAGATGTACAGTTTCTGTTCTACCTGTGTTTACTGGAAGTCAGGCAGGTTCATGTTCTCTCTATTGCAAAACTTGTCAGAAAAGAAAAAGCATCTGGTATTTTCCAGTTCTTTGTATTTGAGTTTGTTTCTATTTTGTTTGTTCATTTGTTTTTGTTTCAGAGAAAACCCTTAGTACTTTGCCTAATGAAGATTTATGGGTAATCTAAGAACAAATAAACAAATGTAAATAATGTTAATAAATGTAATTAAGACTACTGGAAATAATAGGGAAACAACTCTTCGCAAGGAAAGGGAGACAAAGAGTTCAAAGAGGGAACACTGAGGACAAACTCGGATGTAAAGAGGAAAGTTGTAGAAGGCTGTAAAAGGAAATCTTTGGAAAGGAATTTTGTGCATGGTCAGGACTGATGAAGATTATGGAGACTAGTATGTAGTTAAAAAAAAAATTATTTGGGAGTGATCAACGCTTGGGGAAGAGAAGGGTAAATAAGAGAGCAGATCAGGCAGATGTTCGGGCAGTGATACTATATCAACAGAAGCCTTAAGTGATTCTCTGAGGAGTTCCAGAGTAGGATTACCCTTCAGAACCATCCTGAAAGAGGGCAAAAGGCCCGGGACTTTTATAACAGTCATTGGATGTTACCAGCTGGGAAGAAGGCGTGACCTGGGCAAGGCAGCTGTCTTCAGTCAAGGCAATTCCGATGGCCTCTGAGAGTTGAGGACTGTTGGCAGCACTCCTACAGCTGACAGCCCTTCATTCCTGATGGAGATTCTGATCAGAACATCATATATCAACATGGGAGATGACAGGAAGGGAAAGAGAGACTGCATAAACTTCTTTTAATTCATCTTGTTGGAATGCATGAGTTTTAATATCAGAAGTACACGGATATAAGACTGGAGTTTGGCTTTTCTCCCTGTTGAAATGACAGTTTTCTTAGATTATTGGTCTAAGTTATAAACGAAGGTTTTTCTTTATCTTTCATCTGCCTAGACAAACTGTTTCTATTAAAGTTGAATCTTCTCACTATTAAAAAAGCTAAGTCTTGTTGACTGTATAACCCTCTGCCTTTGCCTTTAGAATCTAATTGCCACCTTGGCTAAATAGATAACTAGGTCTTGCAACGATCTATAATCTTATTTAGGCCTGTGCTTTAAAACCTGATATTTCAGAAATGCTTCCCCAAATTCAACTTCACAACTGCTCTAGTTACTTCCAAGCAAAGATCAGGTTTGGAGGAATGCAACATTTCTGCACCTGTTCAGAAATATTCCTTAGTTCCAGGTTGAAACCCAACATTCTGCAGTATCACGATTTGTGAGTTCTTGTGTTGTATTTTATCTAGGGCCTTTAGGGGAGGTTGGTTGTAACCAACTAGCTTGTACTTAACCTATTTCGTCAGACAAGCTCTCCCCTAAGTAGTAGTTTCAGGTCCATCAGAAGCTTGTGGTCCAAGCAGTGTTCTTTTCAACGTTCTCCTTGCTAACAGAGTGTAGGGAACCTGTGGATTCTTGTGGGACCACCAAACAGCAGCATCTCACCTGTAATGGGTGCATTGATGAATACGGGAATCATTTCTTCCATAAATTATTCGGGGATAAAGATTCGTTATATTTCCGGTTGGCTTTAGGGGCAGCACAGTGTTTAAATCCCCATTCCTTAGCTCTTCTGAGGTCCTCCCATCCTTCCAGGAATATTGAAGTTGATATTTAGTTAGCGGGTTTTGGAGCCTTTGTATGGGCTGCAAACCTGGTGGCTTGATCGGCCCAGCAGTTCCCTTGGGCAGTCAACCAGCAGCAGCTAATAGCTGAGGGGTCACCACTGCATCTAGCTCTTCCTTGTCCTTGATCCATAAAACTCCCATCTGTGAACATCTCAAGGTTGAATTCATTTATTATTTTTAGTTGTTACTTCCCTTTCATTTTTTATTTTATTTATTTGGGTCCTTTCTTTTTTTTCTTGAGTCTGGATAAGGGTGTCAATTTTGTCTTTTCAAAGAACCAGCTCTTGGTTTCATTGATTCCCTCCCCGCCTGTATTACTTTTTTCATCTTTATTTCACTTATTTCTGCTCTGTTCTTTATTTCCGTTCCTCTACTCACCTTGGGCTTTGTTTGTTCTTCTTTTTCTAGTTCCTTTAGGTATAAGATTAGATTTTTTTTTTTTTCTTGTTTCTTGAGGTAGGCCTGTATTGCTATATACTCCACTCTTAGAACTGCTTTCTCTGTGTCCCAGAGATTGTGGACCATTGTGTTTTCATCTTCATCTGTCCCCATATATTTTTTTATTACTTCATTGACACATTGGTTGGTTGTTTAGTCTCCACATGTTTGTGTTTTTTCCAGTTTTTTTTTCCCCTGTGATTGATTTCTAGT